TTCAGAATTATTTTATTGATACTTATAATTATAAAAACAACAATAATCACAAGGCATGGGAGAGAATAATGCAGTTAAAAGATGAAATAGATAGGTCCATGGCGGAATAAAATGCCCAAATGACAGACAATCTGCATGGCTACAGCCAACACCATTAAAACAAGCTTATCTGGACTATTTTCTGGTATCTCATAATATGATCTCTTCGATTAAGGACCATAAATCGGACCATTCGCCGATATCTAAATCACTTAATCTAACAGAAAACAGCGTGGAAAGGGGTTTTGGAAATTCATCACTTCTCTCTGGGAAGATACTGACTATGTCAATATGGTAGAAATACTATCTTTGAAAATGGTCCTCAATACGAAAACACAAATGATAACACGAATGAATTTAGTATTGAGGATCAGCTGTTTTACGAAACAATATTATTAATGATTAGAGGAGAAAACATAAAATATCCATCCCATAAAAAACCCGAGAAACATAAAATAAAAATCTACCTGAACAAGAAATATAGAAAAATTAACCCGAAGAATGGACGAGGCTTGCGACCAGAGATAAACTAATGCAAGAAATCGAAATTAATCGAAGAAATCAATAAGATAAAAACACTAGGCCTTATGATAAGAGCTAAAGATGACTGAAAAGGAAAAAACAACCACAAACTATTTTCTTGGTCTAGATTCACGAAACTTTCTTCACAAATCATTTGTAAGATTAGAAAGTGTTCAATGGATTGTGATTGAAAAACAACACGAAATTCAAGAAGTTAAAAGCCTTCTGTCCAAATTATATACGAAACAAGAAGCTACTGATGTTAATCTAGTACACGTGCTTAAAGAGTATATGGTATCCATAAATTAAGCAATATAAGTTCATCACCTTTGAGTAAGAATAGGCTGCTATAAAATGTTTAAAGAATGAGAAGAGCCCAGGTCCCGATGGCTTCACTGCTGAATGTTAAATATGCAAAAAGAACTGGAGAAACTTCCATATCTTTGAAGCGAGGAGATGTCGCATGTATACCAAGAGGCAACAAACCAAAACAGTACTTAACAAATTGGCGACCTATTTCATTGTTATCAGCCTTATATAAAATTGCATCTCTCACTATATATAGAAGGATAAAGTCAGTTCTTGATATTACTTATAAACGAAGACCAAATGGGATTTATGTCTGGCAGGTACATCGGTGAAATCACTACATTAAATTATGACTTCATAGACTATACAGAGACATATGAAATTCCCGGTCTTTTACTACTGATTGACTCGAGAAAGCATTTGATGCTGTTCACTGGACATTTATTGACAAAACATTATTATTTTTTTGAATTTTGGTGACTCAATACATAGAAGGTTTAAAATGTTCTATCGGAGAAGTGCATTTATAATGCGCCAGATTCCATTCACCAAGTGGATGCTCTTGGCACTACATTATTATTACCCCGGTCAATGGATCAGTATGGACTCGATTTTCATTCATCTCCCTGGGGAGTATACAACCCAAGCTGCCTGTGAGGCGCTAGAAGGTTAACAGCCACATTACCATCTCATCCTACCGGTTACCCACTCACTGCTGGGTGAACAGAGGCACATTTCGAACAAAGTCACTTGCCTAAGGAGACACCACATGTGGTACGTGTGCTTCAGTGTGGGGCAGGAACGAAGCCCTAGAAACTCTCAGGAGTCAAGCTGCTTAACGTGGTCACCCATCCAACTACTCTCCGAGACCGACGATGCTTAAACTCACCTGATTTGTGATCTGTGCGCTGTGCACAGGACCATGTGCTACCACGTGCACATGTTCATATTATGTGCTGAAATATTGCAATACCGATAAGAAATAACATAACAGACATAAATATAGGTAATATAGAATATTTGCTTCAACAGTTTGCCGATGATACTACATGTACACTAGACGGATCTGAGCGTTGTCATTTTGCTTTAAAAAATGTATTAAATTATTTCTATGCCAGATTCTCAGGTTTAAAAGTCAATATTGATAAAATGCGACTCATGGACAGTATCTAATAAACTTGAGACTAAATTGGGACCAACATTCTTTTGACCTTCTTAGCCTAAAACTTATCTTAAATTTGGACGATGTTATAAATTTACGACAATTACAACGAGAAAATAAGACAATGTGAAACATTAATGTGTACATTATCATCCAGTAACCTTACTTTATAACTGGGTTGAATACAGTTTTAAAATCGCTTCTAATTCCAAAACCTCATCATCTGTTTCTCTCTCTTCCGAACCCTAAAAAAACTGGTATAAAAGACTTTCAGAAAAAGTGTTTTCGATTTATTTGGAATCTTAAACCTGACAAGATCAAGAGATTCAGATAATATGTCATACAAATATCAATGAAGATAAATGAAGTCTTTCAAGGCCCAAACTTGTCTATGTTGAGACGTTAATTCCAAAATCAATTGAATGTCGTACGCTTTTCGAACTGAATCTTCCAAAGATTGGCCAAAGTAACATACTTGAACATAATTGTCAATACTTGAGAAAGAAGATTTTATCACAGATACGAAATAATATGATACATATGCTATTACATCATGGTGGGATTTCGCTTCTCAAATTAACTTTAGCACTGTTAAAGATAATGACATACTTTCGGAAAGTATTTATTATACAAACAACATATACATTTGTGAAAAAGGTGTGTTTAAAAAAAATAAAGAATGGTATAACTATGGTGTCCGTTTGATAAGTGACCTTATCGATGATAAGGGGAAACTACTTCATTTGACACATTTGGAAAAAGGTTTGATATCAAAACAAACTTTCTCATATATATGGGCGTTGTTAACTCTGTAAAGCAATACTTTTTGAAATGCAAAATAGATTCAGAAACAATATAAAAAACTACTTAACCCAATCAATTCAATTCAATGCAATTCTTTATTGTATGAAAGGACACAGGCCCATATACAACGGAGTTACATAACATATTTTATAAGATACAAAGTCAAGGTAACAATTCACTTCGTAACAAAAACGCATGATGTATTGACAAAGCCAGTTGATATTGTATTAGAATACCCTTGCAGGACAGTAATGAAGACAATCTTATAGCATTAAAATGAGATATAGACCACTGCGTTATGTACTTGTTTCTTAGATTTTCGTATATAGTGCAAATAAACATAAAGTTGTGTTCATCTTCGACACTAATGTCACAGAATGGGCATAACCTTAGCGATTTCTCAATAGATGAAAATCATCCAGTGTTAATTTTTAGATCATTCAGGCCAAGTCTAAAACGAATAATTATGTTAAGAAAATTCTTGTACCATAACTTTGATAAATAAGATTCTGGTTCAAGCAATGAACTGACGACAAGTATCATATCTTGAACTTTCGTAAATATCTGAATGCCATTTCTGATGCAACATACTCGTATCAATGGCAAAGTGTAAAAAGCAATGAAGGTATACAAGATGCCCTTGTGTTCTTTCCAAGATTACCGAGGTGTACAAGCATGTTGTAGGCTTTCTTAGATCAAGGTCAAGAGGTTTGATTGTACATAAGGCCTCCGCCCATATACAAAACAAGAGTACAAAGTGATAATATCCGTGAGTGCAACACAGCTATAGAGATGTGCTGCATACAATACATATGTGGAGACAATGTTACAAAGTGGGTGTACACAATTATTTTACAAAGTGACTTCACGATACTATGAGTGAGTGAGTGAGTGAGTGAGTGAGTGAGTGAGTGAGTGAGTGAGTGAGTGAGTGAGTGAGTTGGGTTTAACACCGAACAGTATTCCAGTTATATCACGGCGTGTCAACTTAATGTGGGAGGAAAGCCCGAAGTGATGCAGGTCTCAGTCGTTTACCACTTCGGTGAAACCCACGAGCACGGGTATAGTGCTGACAAACCTAGAAACATAATCGGGGCGAACCTGGATTCAAACCCACAATCAAAGGTATCTGGCGTGCCCAAGGGACGCAACTCTGCACAGCGAATCACGGCGCCTTAGACGACTGGACCACCCGTGTCCCCCGATACTATAAGATAAGCAGTGTTCAGGCATTATTATTATTTTACACCAATATCTCAAGCAATGAGTGTAAGATACAAACACATCCTTGGCGTAAGCCTATCGGGCAATCAAAAAAGTTACTTTTAGTATCACCACAGCGAACACATGATTTTACATTTGCATACATTGATTTAACAATGGCAAACATTTTGCCTCCGAAAACCTTATTTTTCAAACAACTCCACAGTTTAGCTCTATTTACAGAATCAAATGCCTTTTTAAAATCAACAAAGGCCAAATATAACTTACGTTTGCTGTGGGATAAATATTTCTCAATGACTGCATATAGAGTGAACATGTGGTCAAAAGTCGAATAGTCCTATCTAAATCCCGCTTGTATTTCAGGAAACAAATCCCTCATATTTAACCACTGTGTTAATCTATTATTGATGACAGCAGTAATTGCTGGCGACAACCCCTTGAAACCTTAAAAAAGGACTAGCATATCCATTTACCAAAACACTTGATTCAATGTTTTCGAAAAAAGACTTTTATCCAATGTTGAATACTTGGTCCAAAATTTAAAAAAGTTAGTACATTAAGCATAATTTTTCTTTCCTCAGAGCCAAATGCTTTTTCAAAATCAATTAATAACAATAAACCTGGTATTTGGTAAGATTTAGTATATTCCATCACATCATAAATCATTCTTGTAACCTCACCTATATATCTACCACCAACAAAACCTTTTTGATCCTCATGAATAATTAAAGGCAAAACATGTTTTATTCTGTCTGCAATTAACGCTCCAGCTAACTTATAAGATGTGTTAAGGAGGGAGATGGGGCGCCAATTCTTTAGAAATAATTTTGGTTTATTTTCTTTGGGAATACATGGTATCAATCCTTGTTTTTGTCATACCGATAGAGATCCATTCTTATATGCATAATTTAGATCATTTATTAAATAACTATGAAGATCCACCCAAAAGAATTTTATAAATTCTGCTGAAAACCCGTCTGGGCCAGGGCTTTTATTATTATTTTTTTTTTCAATGCTTCAAGTACCTCATCATAAGTCAATTCACCCTCGAGAGAAGAAGCTATATCATCACCTAGTCTTGGCACATGGGTATCAGAAAATAGGTTTTCTAAATCAATCTGTGTGCAATCTTCAGTTTTATACAATTTCTGATAATAGTCTCTACCTTCTTGAATTAGTTCATCTTGTTTATTTATTTGTGTACCATCTCCCTTTTCAAGTAAAGATATGGATTTGTTTAGGAAGTTTCTATATTCAAGTTGCAGAAAATATTTTGAGGGTTTTTCACCTTGTTCTATCCATTTGGCCTTTGATCTCATAAAAGAGCCTTCAGTTCTTATTCTATGCAAATTTTCCAATTCTAGTTTAGCTGAATCTAATTGTTCCATTAATTCTCCCATCTCTCTATGTGTATTTTGTACTCCTAACCTATTTTCAAGCCGATTTAAATCTTGTTCTAATCTGGATTACAAAGCTATGTTTTCTTTTTTTACGTGTTGAGGAGAATAACATTGAGCTTCCCCTAATATTTAACAGCATCATTTCCCAAAGTAGTTGGTCATCAATTGTAAATACTCTCTCATTTGTAGCTGTCTTGTCTTCATTTTGATCTAGAGTATCATTAATTGTTTTTTAACCATTGCGACAAAGTTTTTTTATCTTTCAAAAATGAGTTATTAAATTTCCAAAAGCCTTTTCCCCTTTGTATGTCTGAGAGTGAAAGAGTAAGAGATATAATAGAATGGTCAGAATTTATACTAGGTATATTATATCGCTGTCTTCAACTAAATGTAGCACATTGTGTGAGACTAAAAATAATCCAAACGAGCTTGCGTTATTGGTGTGGGTTGTCGCCAGGTGTATCTTCTTTCAGATGGATATAATTCTCGCCATGGGTCTTTAAGAAGTAAACTATCCATTGTCTCCAAAAGTTCCTTTCTTGCTTTGAGGTGGTTAATATCTTCATAATTACAAGTGTCTTTGTCTTGATCAATTATTAAATTCCAATCACAACATGTTATGATTCTCCTGTTAATTATACTGCTAGTTCCTTTATTTTTTCAATAAATTCTGGTTTGTCCGGATTTGGTCCATATAAGTTATGGTATATATTTTGTCATCAATACTTACATCTAATACCACAAAGTTACCTTCATATTTATCTTTAATTGAATGCATAACCTTGAATTCAAAATCGTTAAAATTTAAAATAGCTGTACCCCTTGCATTTCTTTTAAAAGGACAGATATAACATTCTTTATAACCCCATTGTTGTTTAATTATTTGTTCGTGATCAACTGTGAAATGCACATTTTATAGACAGTAAATCTGGGCTTTTTTATTTTTAAGAAAACTAAATACTTGTGTCATTTTAAAAGTATTATTTATTTCATAGCATCTACAATTGAGTGCTAATATCTTAAATTTCCCCTTTTTGTATAATGTCATAAATTAATATTTTGCCATAATAAATAAGTATAGTTTTGTCTGTTGTATAGATTCTATATTTGCACACTGCAGGTTTGGATGGAAAAAAGTGTTCTGTATGAAATATAAACATAAACATAATGAAGTATAAACCATAAATGGTTCCTTTGAGGTCATCCCGAGTTCCTACCGAAACCGCCCAGGTATAAGTAGACAACAAAGTCAACATAATGTCAGTGACGTAAAATGGCGAAACTAGTGAGAGATATACTCTGGTAATTGTCATGATTGTTTCCATTCTTTTGATTTTGACCAGACAGAAGGAAAAACACCTGTATCAAAAATCCGATTGAAACATTTAACCAGAAAAGGCATATGTATCACCTATGTATCACCAAATGTAAACTCGACTGCTCTTTCACCGTAAACTCTCCCATTTAGTATAAATAAACAAAGCATAGATTCGACAAAATGCATCCGAATGTATTGATAGTACGATCGTGAGATACAGGCTGTTAAACAGGGGCATTGTCTACATGAATGTATAAATCATCATGTCCAAAGGCACCACAGTCCTCATAAATGGGATTATTTTCGTTGCCTGTGCGGGCATTAAATTCACCTCAGAGTAGCACATGTGAAGAAGTTAAATCAGACCAATGTTCCAATATAAAAGCTTCCAGTTTATAAATAAGACAACCTGAATCAGTTCTCCCATTGTAAAATGTAGAACCTGCCGGAGGGACATAGTTATACAACATTAAATCACATTTTAAATTTAATTCAGATTTTGGAAATTTTAAAACATATGAAGTTTTCTTTATCGGTGCTAAGGTGGATGCACTGGTTCACAACATCTTGTCTAACGCAGGGACACACACCACCAGAACATCTACCTAAAAACGATAGTTTAACTGCTGGGGCAAAGTACATTTGGTAACCAGGTAGCCAGTTTAAGTCTGGGAAATCTGATATAAAATTATAAAATGTCTCCAATAAACACACAATATCAAAAAATTGGGGGTAGGCAATAAAGCTTACCATTCTTGAAATATTTCCAATGAGTCCTCTATCTTTCACAGCTTTAAGTTGTTGATCTTGTCGGATAGTTAAGTCACTTGAGACTTCATAACCGTTATTCTTGAGTGTTGTTCGAGCTTTCAATAATTCGATCTTGTCATCAGATAGCCGTAATTTAATCTTGGTTTGGAGATGTGGGGACCGATGTAACGGAAGACGTCATCACTAACCCCTTCATCACTAACCCAACATTGCTGTTCAAGATATCTAGTACCTTGACCTTGGAATCAGTGTTCGTCTCCCCTGTTTCCTCTGTCACGTTATAGAGAATAACGTCTCGCCATCGAACTGTGCTAGTTTCTCTTCCACGTTTTCTAACTTGTCGGAGATCAAACCAACATCCTCGAACATTATGCTCTGATTGTATTGTACAGTTTCCACGTCAATCTAAAGATTGGTCATCTTTGATTCAAGGTAATAAAATATGGTCCTAAAATCTCGAACCTGATTTGTGAGTGTGGTTATCTGATTTCCGAGGTCACATGCCACGCATTAGATTTCCTTCAAAATGACATCTTTGACTTCGTCTAAGGTCAGTGGTCCGGGATTCCTTTTGATGTCGTTAGCACACAGGATTCTATGTGTTATTACCTCTACGGGCAGCGGATTATTGACATGCGTCTGGAGCAGGTGATGATTGAGCTGGCCAAGCTGACTATTTAATTTTGAATGACGTGACGTCACTTGTGTAAACAAGTTCACAAACATGCTCTTTGTAAATATGAATACAGATCAACATTTTCACATGCGTTCAAAACAACATGGCTCAAACCAATATACAAGGTAAACATCATTGCACATATAATAATTATGAAGTGTTTATCAGACCCGACGACAGTGGGTGAATACTCGCTATGTTTGTCAAGTGTTACTTGCCTTTTGGTGCCTTTTGGTTAAGTTAAAAGTCCAACTCTGGATCTAGAGACGTCAATCGACACCATTTCTTGTTTTGTTTCGGTCTCTGGTATTATGTCAACCACTTATTACAGCTTCACTTCGGTCGATTTCGGTCATAATACCTAATTAAGATGATTTTTTGACGGAACGCATCAACACACGTCTTGGCATAACAAGGGGCATAACTCCAACCCCCACATATACAAACTATTGAAAATGTCCACAGGAACTCAATATTGCTATATACTGCTAATAACTGCGTTATGCCAAAAGAAATCAACAATCGACAAAATGCGACTTCATCCTACAGAATGATACCATATCTAACGATAAGCCACACTATAATGTACTTCCTTTTACATGCACAAACGATACTAGTTTACAATGGTTCCAATAATGTAATATCACACCATTGAGACATTTACTACTTGGTTATCCAAGGAGAAACAATGATCCAATCAACATTATTATTATTATTATTATACTTTTAAAATATTGACTTTCCAAAGTACGTTTCACAAAACTATGCCACCATTCTAGACTTTTCAGTATGAAGTAAAACAAAACCACATGATCACTAAATGTTCCTGTTTCATAGATTCTAAAACAGATTCCTTTTATAAGTTCTGGTCGTCATGTCATGTTCTATTTTGTTAGTCTGTGTACACGTTTCCACTCTCGCGCTGTTCAATATGTACAGAGATATATGTTATTTCATATCACCCGGGGGTTATTGTTATTTCTCATCCAAAATTGGCTCCCACGGGTGATATCGCTAGGCTGAAATTGTAGATATCACTGCAATGAAATTGCATCACAATGCTTTGCAGACCATTGTGACGTCATTTGTTACCATGACGTCACAATTAAATGACACCACTAATAGCTCTGTTACTGAAGCTGTTAGCAGTACTTTTTACCCTTAAGACATTGCTTATGGCTGTCTACAAACAGAAAAAAAGTTGGAAGAATGATGTTGGATGATAAATAAAATCTCACCCTCGTGTCTTTTGATATCAAATATATAAACACTTGTTGATCTACGTGGAAAAACTCCTCGGCAAACCTCGGAGTTTTGTTTTTGTGCTGATATATTTGATATCAAAAGACACTTGGGTGAGATTCTCTATTTGTTTCCTGTAAAATGTTGATAAATGCAACAAAAGAATAGACTTATAAAGAAAAGAAAGTGTTCTATTCTTCTACAAGTGGTGCCTGTGAATCCCAAAGCCAACGAGTGTCATAGCCCTGACTATGAGACATGGACCATTTTACAAAGCGATCCTAACGCTATGACTTTTGTGATTTTGAGATAAAGTATAGTTACAATATTCATTTGGGACACACTCTCCTGTATCCTGGGTCACAGTTCTCTTGCCATCAATAAGCAATATAACCGTTCCTGTGTCCACTCTCATCAACATCTACATGTAAGTAATGCTTTCCTCTAATTCCATTCCACTGTTGGTGTATTTCAATATGTTGGTGTCATTGTTCAAGGAAGAATTCCCGTTCTTCTGTGCTTTGTCTTTGTCACCTGAGCTCATAACATCAACATCTGTGATGATCTGTGTTTCCTCTATCCTGCGATAAAAGCGCCGAGCAAGAAGCGCAAGCAAGAACATTTCCAAAATGACAATCAGGTGGTTCCAAACTGAAATTGAAAACAGAGGTTGTTTACATTGTTATCCAGTCAGATTACATCTTTCACCTTTTACTAGTGGAAACAAACTGATGATATTGCGTTACTATTGTTAAAATAGTGGAATTAATTCCTTTTGAAAGCTCTATATTGGTGGTAGTATTGCAGGATATTAACTCCGAAGTATTTATACTGCAAATCAAACAGAATAGCAGTAATTAATGAGTCACAGAGTCAGTATTGCAGGGAAAGAATATCAAAATGACCTCCAAAAACCCATAAACAATTACCAGTTCTGACAAAATTGATTTGTATTGTTTTTACTACTACATGTTACGCTAAAAAGAATACACACCTTACATACAAAAGTCCAGATGTGTTGGGTGTCATGCAGCTTTGAACAATATATTTTCAGTTACCACAGTGTGTGAGGAAAGCCAGAAGTGATGCATATTTTTTATGTTTACCACCAATCATCTCTGCTTCCACGAGTGAATGGGTATGTCACTTTCTATGGCAGACGTCACACTTGCCATTGCTTTGTGAGGTTGAAAGCAATATTGGTAGACAGGTATACACGTAGGCATGTTGGTGGTGGCCAGATGTGACACTTACCATGGTCTCGTGCAATACAAGACATCATTGATGTACAGGTAGGAAGGTTGTTGAGGGCGAGATGTGACACTTACCATCGCCTCGTGCAATACAAGACATCATTGATGTACAGGGAAGAAGGTTGTTGATGGCCAAATTGTGACACTTACCACTGCCTCGTTCAGTAGAAGGCAGTATTGGTGTACAAGGAGGAAGGTTGCTACTGGCCAGAATATTGAAGACTAAGCCCTGCAGATTGCTGAAGACAAGCACTAACTGCATGCAGATGAACTTTGGGACAATGTTGAACACCTTTAGGTGTTTTCTGGACGCTCTGAATACAAGGATCAGGCCGTACATGGCTGTAAGTGTTGACACACCATTCAACACACTTATGTACAGGGAGGCCTGTTTTGGACTCATCTGAAAGTGAGAGAGTGAGTGAGTTGACTTTAATGCTGCTTTGCACAATATGTTATTTATATCATGGCATGTCACATGATGTGGGAGGAAAGCTTAAAGTCTCAGACATTTGCACTTTGATGAAACCTATGAGCAACTAAAACAACTAATTATGTTTAACATTTTACGTTCTGAATCATTTTCAGAGCTGATGCATGATTTCAAATCAACACAGGCTGAAAGATAGCAAGATGGTGGCTACCAGATGTACTTTGAAGCATAGCAAGATGGTGGGTACCAGATGTACTTTGAAGCATAGCAAGATGGTGGGTACCAGATGTTCTTTGAAGCATAGCAAGATGGCGGGTACCAGATGTACTTTGAAGCATAACAAGATGGTGGGTACCAGATGTACTTTGAAGCATAAGAAGAAGCTGGGTACCAGATGTACTTTGAAGCATAACAAGAAGGTGGGTACCAGATGTACTTTGAAGCATAGCAAGATGGCGGGTACCAGATGTACTTTGAAGCATAAGAAGAAGGTGGGTACCAGATGTACTTTGAAGCATAACAAGATGGTGTGTATGAGACGAACTTTTAACATCGCAAGATGGCGGGTATGATATGTGCTTTGAAACATCACAGGATGGCGGGTATGATATGTGCTTTAAAACATCACAAGATGGCGGGTATGATATGTACTTTGAAGCATAGCCAGATGGTGGGTATGAGACGTACTTTGAAAGAAAGCAAGATGGCGGGTATGAGATGTACTTTGGAACACAGCAGGGTGGCGGGTTTGAGACGTACTTTGGAACATGGCAAGACGTTTGGCATGATATGTACTTTGACACAAAGGAAAGGCGGCGGGTTTGAGACGTTCTTCGAAACATAGGAAACATGGCGATGTATAGGTTAAGCAGAGGAAGCTAGCAGGTATGAGATGTATTATAAGGCAGCAAGATAACAGTTATGAAATGTATTTTTAAATATTGGGGAGCATGGGATGTATCTTGAAACAGACTTATTTACTTACCTTTCCGTTCTGATATTTGTTATCAGCCCACAACACAGCAGTCAAAAGCACAAAGATCGGTCTTAAAATGGCAAATTGTAAAACAGACATTCTGATTCTGAAGAGGATCTTTCTGAAAGAGAATAAAGAAACCAGTCAAAGCTTTATTTTAGAACACAATGGATGAAGAAGTTTAATGTTACCTCAACAAATACATATGTCCGAATTGAATGGATATGTGAGAACTCTTACAATCAGGTTGTTGTCACATAAAAGTACACATCACATTGTTCTTCCTGTGGTTAGCAGTGGTGGGGTAGTCTAGTGGTTGAAGTGTCCTCTTGTTACAATAAAGACCTTGGTTCTATCCCTCCCACACCCCATTGAGATACGGCTGAAATATTAGTCAAAGTGGCATTAAACCCAACGTACTCACAATGTAATTGTCACTGTCAATATGAATTACATATCAATGTATTTTATTTAAGCATCAATATAACAGGGTTTAAAAGTTCATCTCAAGAGGCTTGATGGTGAATTAATAGTGACAGTGACAAATATACCTGCTCACTCATTTACAGCTATCTTGGGGCAGCAGACGCAGCAGCAGGCCACGGGAGGGCTGCGCAGGTTTATTGTCTCCCCTGACATGTGATCGATGAGAGCTTGGTCCCCTCCATGGTAGTGGATCAGCAGAAAGAGGAACAGCTGGAGACAGCGGGACATGTAGCTGACATAGTACAAAAGACACTCTGCAGAAAGTCAATCTGAGGGAGACTTCAGTTTATTATAGAGGTGGGTGGGTCAGAGGGAATCAGGGAGGAGGGTCTCCAAAAATTTGACAGTCTCAATATGTGAAAAGAATACGGATATTTGGGGAGGGTCATGAAAATATGGACATTTGATAATAGAATATAAAGTGCTTTTTCATTTGGTCTTTACAGGGAGGCAATGAACAAATGTACAAGGACATGGGGAGGGTCATCAAACAATATGACAAGCATTAGGGGAGGGTGATTATTTTCAATACATTAGTGCATCAAAAACCTCTGACCCATTCACCCCTGTAATAAATTACCGGTCCCTTAGATGTTCTTTCCCCGCAAAACCATAGTATCAGTGATCGAAATGAAGAAAATGCCACTATATTTATTTACATAATTCTTGGCCAGGTGAAAAAATACAAAAAGAGCCGGGAACTCTTTAGCTCATCTAAAATTTCCTTAAGTTTCATATAAGATCTGAAAGTTCACACAAGGGTAAAGAAGGACATGCTAAAAGAAAACCTGATGTCTCAGTATGTTCATTAAGGTATTATGTTCATTAAAGAAACATGGATAACTGGTTTACATGCAGATGGCCAAAATCACATGTTCATCAGCAGTATACAAAGGCCAGATTTTGAAGTTGTGACAAGTTATAGCAAAATATACAGGACTTAACAATACAATACATTACAATACATTAAAATATTGCACTAGTACCTTGGTGAACCGTGATAGGCGAAGAAAAGCTAACTGTGGAATATAGTGTACATGTCCCCTACTTTCCATGTCCTAGTCCTACCATATACATGTACATCTTGTGACATATACTACTCAAAAGAAGTTAAGGATCACCCGATTCTTTCATATTGGTAATGTTAATCTGTCATGGCATGAGAGATTAACTATTGTAATATGAAAGAATCAGGTGATCCTTAACTTCTTTTGAGTAGTATATAAGTGTGCCTACAAGGCGTACTGCAGACATAAAGCCAAGTGCAGTGAAAACAAATAAACCTCTGTCCATTTTCAAAAAGTGTAATCAGGGTTTCAAATTGGTTAAATTTACTGGGGCTTTTACTGTCGTCCAAAATGTCCTAAAGATTGTTTTCAAATTGTGTAGTGATATACAAGAATGTGCTATAAAAGTTGATAAAATCATAAAACATGGCCTAAACCCATTTGTTTCAAGCATAAAATTTGTTATACTACAGCAGTTGAATATATACTGAACAGCATTGAAAACGCACCAGCAATAAATCTTGAAATATAACAAAAACAATTTGAGCAATGACCGATTTTGATTAGAACAGACATAGACGGATTATTAAGAAAGACGACAAAGGAAACAGGAATACCACACAGTAATGACAATTACGTCATCAGTGTAAGGAAGACACATAGGGTTAAAATGAAAAGTCAGTATCTGGTATGTCCGCCATTGACAGCAACACAGGCCATGCAACGTCTTCTCATTGATCGAATAAGTATGCGAATAGTGTTCTGGGGCATTCCACTCTTGACGTAGTGTATCTTCAAGTTCTCTCAGGTTCTGTACTTGCGGACGACGTGAGAGGCGTTGACCCAGGTTACCCCATAGATGTTCAGTTGGCGATAGATTGCTGGAAGGTGTGTATATCCTGAGCGGAGACGTCGACGTAAGGTGTCAGCACTAATCAATTCCGTCGGCCTTGTACGGTTGCTGCAGTCCTGGTAGCCGGAAGTGTACGATCACGAAGATGCCGACGAACAATATGGCGATCCTTGCGTGGTGTAGTTACACGACGTTTACCCGTACGTGGTCGATCTCTGGTGGTTCTTGTCTGCTGGTATCTGCTCAGTAGCCTGAGGACTGTTGAATGATGGCATTGAAACCGTTGTGCAACGACTCTACTTGACGTACCAACTTGAAGCATGCCCAAGGCACGTTCACGTTCCTCTGCTGTTAATCTTGGCATTTCTTGTGTCAGTACCCTTTACGTCTGCAGCAACAAGTGATGTGGCTTTTAAAAGTCTGTCTTTTATAGCCCTATTCTGCATACTTCCCGTGAAACAAAACACGTTTTCCATGGTGTGTAAGCAATTTGTTGCGTTTTGGCGATTTCGCTAACCAAAAAATTAGGAATGTGTTTTGACGAGCTGTTCTTCTTCATGCTTCGTCCAGAACGTCGTATATTACTCATTCACTTATATATTTTCATTTGACTTAAGCCCGGATACAAATACATCCATTTTCATGGTGGTGCGTTTTCAATGCTGTTCAGTATATTATTCTACCATGACATCAATAGTAGAATCCTACTTTCTGATTTGTTTGCCATGATTATTGAATCTATATAAGAAAATATGTATTTGAAAACACTTTGACAACCAAAGGGGTAATAGAATATCATAAGCGACAGTTAACAATGACTAAACGTCTGTATGGCGGAATTCATAACGTAAACACAGCTTTACATTTGGCGCTATTCCTTTGCAGACTGTGATGTCATTTGTACCACGTCACAATGCTTAGGCATCGTTGCTTGAAGTACATTATGACGTCATAATATTGATGTGTACTCTTGAAATAAACAGTGCAGAGGTCGCCTTATTTGTAAGGGAGGATCTCCAGAAAATTACTTACGGGGTGTCTGCACTAAAAGTTTGTATTGGCTGACACTGAACAAAGCTAAATATTATGATGAAAGTTGTGGTTTGAGTTAATAAAAACAAACCTTCGTGGAATAAAACCGATCGTCATTCATTACTGAATTCACCTATTAAACATATTCGACTCAACGAATGCCCATCACTCATCACTTCGTTATTACGAAAGAGTTCGAAGCCTGTACACTTTTCAAATTTGAACTCTCCAGCTAACGCATTTGGTTTCGAATGAAATGTACAGATATTGAATCTAAGTGCAAAACCTAAAAAAAACCCAGAGCAGGTTTATCCCCTAATCAGAGTAGTGTATTCACTTCTTTCTTTAGTGCAGACACGACACGTCAATAGCTTGTAGTTTGGCTGTATGAATCTAATACAGTGAATCAAAATTGCTGACGGCATGTTACATAGAGCTGACAATTCTATTCTTGTAAGAAATATACTCCAATTTCTCCATATATAATAGACTGAAGGCTTTTGAGGATGTGCAATGATATGACAATAAAACAAATTTTGGAAATCAAGTGAAGCGTGCCATATATCAACAGCCTGTGGACCCCCCAACTCCACCCCCACCAGCTGAATCCCCTGGACTCGACAAAAGAGAGATTCTAGAAAATCGCTACATCTAACTCACATGGCCGCCACCAGATCCGACAGCAAGGCGGATCGCGGTATACACACAGCTATCAGGGCTGTCACTGCAAACACCTGTTGGGAGCAATTACAAGCAGTCAATCAAGTTCCACTGAGTGAATACACTTAACCTGAAATGAAGTGAGTGAGTGAGTGAGATGGGTTTAACGCCGCTTTTAACAGTATTCCAGTTATATCACGGCGTGTCAGCTTAATGTGGGAGGAAAGCCCGAAGTGATGCAGGTCTCAGACACTTACCACTTCGGTGAAACCCACGGTGCTGACAAACCTAGAAACACAAGTATTTGTCACAAAGTGACGAAATGTCCCCCGCCTGTATATACACCATAGTACCAAATATGAAGACAATCCAGCGATTAGTTCTTGAGATATTGCGGCAACACCGTTTTCCAACTCCAAAAACAGATTTGCCTGCTGTGACCTTGAAAATGGGGTCAAGGTCACCAAAACCGACTGGTGTCTGCGGTGTCTGTATATACACCATAGTTCCAAATATGAAGACAATCCAGTGTTTAGTTCTTGAGATATCGCTGCAACACCGTTTTCCAACTCCAAAAGCAGATTTGCCTGCTGTGACCTTGAAAATGGGGTCAAGGTCACCAAAACCGACTGGTGTCTGCGGAGTCTGTATATACACCATAGTTCCAAATATGAAAACAATCCAGTGTTTAGTTCTTGAGATATCGCTGCAAAACCCTGTTTCAACTCCAAAAGCAGATTTGCCTGCTGTGACCTTGAAAATGGGGTCAAGGTCACCAAAACCGACTGGTGTCTGCGGTGTCTGTATATACACCATAGTTCCAAATATGAAAACAATCCAGTGTTTAGTTCTTGAGATATCGCTGCAACACCGTTTTCCAACTCCAAAAGCAGATTTGCCTGCTGTGACCTTGAAAATGGGGTCAAGGTCACCAAAACCGACTGGTGTCTGCGGTGTCTGTATATACACCATAGTTCCAAATATGAAGACAATCCAGTGTTTAGTTCTTGAGATATCGCGGCCACACTGTTTTCCAACTCCAAAAGCAGATTTGCCTGCTGTGACCTTGAAAATGAGGTCAAGGTCACCAAAACCGACTGGTGTCTGCGGAATTTGTATATACACCATAGTTCCAAATATGAAGACAATCCAGTGTTTAGTTCTTGAGATATCGCGGCAACAAACAGGTGGGACGTACGGACGGACGTACGGACGTACGTACGGACGGTCGTGAATACTATATCCCCCGCTTCGCGCTTTCGCGCGGCGGGGGACAATAAAGGGGGCGAACCGGGATTCGAACCCACAATCATAGGTTTCTGGCGTGCCCAAGGGACGCAACTCTGCACAGCGAATCGCGGCGCCTTAGACGACTGGGCCACCCGTGCCCCCCTGAAATGAAGACATGTTTATTTCGTAATTCAGGCCACATGGCCCATACTACAGTTGTAAGATATATAACATTTTAGGTCACATATCCAGAGTGTTTCATCTCTGTCGATCTCATTTTAATTAATTTACATAAATATATAGCTATCAAGCGCAGTACATTAATATCCCATGATTTAAATTAATTTGCAAACGTAATATTACCTTTATAATATTTCTGTAATGAGATAAAAAAAAAAAAATTCTCAAGTGAATATATTTCTTACATACAAAAAGACATGGTTTTCATCCTCTACTAAATGAAGGTCACATTGTTTACATATAGATTCTGTATGAGGTATATTTAACAATGACCTTTTAAGAATAATGTTGACTCGAAAGTTGTGAAGAGATATTAGAAATTTACACATTGCTCTAATTAACCGTTTGTCTCTGAGTACTGTTGCGGATAATTTGGGTTGGAGAAGAGATTTTATATTAGCATAATGCAATTTAAAGTAATACTGTGGTACTATGATTGGAAATATATATATATATATATATATATATATATATATATATATATATATATATATATATATATATATATTTCTTGGGCGTCATCTAAATGCAGATAAAAACATGTTCTTATCACCAACATCTTGGAATAACCAGACATACGTAAAACCACTATTAAATAACGTTTGCCTCACACACGATGCCCAATTGACTTTTCCATTCTCGTCTAATACTTTAAGCATAACATAACTTTGGAAGGGCTATCGACTTGCGATCATTCGCAAAAGCTTAATCCAGTACTTAATTACCCTTAATTGCGTATTTATAAACATACAATGACGTCCATGTTTGTTTGTTTGTTTGTTGTTTAACACAGCACTCAGTAATATTCCAGTTATGTGACGGCGGTCGGTAAATAATTGTCTAGACCAGAAAATCTAGTGATTGACATCATGAGCATCGATACACGCAGTTGGGATACGATGACATGCATCAAACAAGTCAGCGAGCCTGACCATCCTATCCCTTTTGCTTTTCACGGCAAGCATGGGTCCCTGAAGACTATTGATAGATCAGTTGTTTGTTTGTGTGTCATCATACTCAAAAGGGAGTGTCTTTGTGGTTGATCATACTGTCGATCACCGGTTTGTTGTGTTCAGACTAGTTCAGACTAGACTACAGTTCACAAGCATATATCTTGAATATTGCTGAGTGCAGCAACAAACAACAAACAAACATAAGCTTTAAAGAATTTTAAGTGTGGCCTAAAATGTGCATACAGCCATATCTTGTTTACTTACTGGTTGTAGGCCAATCATCCATATGGACAGAATTTTTGTCTTCTGTACTAAGAAGTGTTGGACTATAAACCAGGTGCTCTCAAGGAACATGATGACAATAACTACAGTAACCACTGCACCAACTGCAATAGCAGCCACAAGCCCGGTAGATATTTCTGCAGAATACAAATCATAACATGTTTTAAATACAAACAAAGGGTATAATCATTATGTCGTGAACAAATGTCAAGGGATTGTACAGGTGGTCATCCACAGGAGATAAAAGTACTGGGAGATACTTAAGGCTCAGTCCCTTGCATTGTACTATATAAACAGAGTCGGCAGTATCTAAATACAATCTATAAAATTAAGATTTGTAAATAGAACACATTCACATGTTCATGCAGTGTAAAAATAATGTTTGTGATGTTAATTACCTGCAAAGTAGCTCTCCGAGAAAGGTACAACATCAGGGCAGTTTGGTGCCACAGTACTGAAAACATACAGGTTTTCGCATATAAATAATGTTATATGAAAATAAATCTTAAACTTAAGAATGCCAAAATACCTATGGTAAACGTGACACGCACACACATTCTAAACGTTGTTCAATTGTAGGGGCCAACTATTTCATTATCTTGGGGGAGGAGATTTCATTCATTACTTTATTTTATTTTATGCTTGTTTAGGACTGGTGTCAGTTGCAATACTTCTGTCACAAAGCTATAGCAAAATGATACGTGGTTACATCCATTTTCCTAATGTTAAATGTGGGTTTCTTGAGGGCTGTTTCCAGCTTTGATAAAACTGGATTACAAGTAAAACAGTGAACCCGTACCCCTCAACAACCTCCTGATTATTAACTGGAGTTTACCTTTAGAAACATTTTGAGAGCAAGAATGAAACAAGAATTTTGATTTTACCATGTTTCCTGATTCCATAAATATTAAGGCATGAGCTGGATTAGCTGTATTTTCAGCTCGAAAGACGAAGTAGGATAAGGCCCTATTTCTTACGAATTCTTTACCTCCATTACACCATCGCCATAAATCCTGTACTTTGGAAGCAATCACACTACATCTATATTTTCAGATTTTCAACAAACGTCATGTTCACTGTCAAAAATGCATCATTATTTGTTCCCCTAAGAGCACCAACAGCCTGTATCTCCTCCATCAAAAGGCAGGAAACAACTTATTTCTTTCCTGTGTGTGCTATTGTCAACTTCTACTACTTAGCTGTCTCATAATAGCACATGGTTATATAGGCACACTAATTGTAGTCCGTTTTCAGTTTAAATAGTTTATTACACATTTTACTACTGTTGGATGTCGTTTACTTGGCTGTTTATAGGGGCTTGTATTACGTGAGTTTAAGTTGGTGTTGGCAATGGCGTCTGGGGACCCTCAAGCTGCCTGTTGGAAGTGCAGAGATGTAAACAGCACGGAACTGTTGTGAGATTTGCACTCTGCTTTTTACGAAGTTTATGTAATCCATCATCAAGGCCACGAGGAAAGAAGCGGCCTAGAAGAAAGTGGAGGCCATTATGTCTTTCCCTTTACCCCCGGAACCAGCAACTGTTTGCTCAACAGAAATGGAATCATTATTTGAATACCGTCTCCTAGCCCTTTGTCTGAAGGTAGAAAAGCTGAAACGGGTCAATGCATATCAGGCTCAGAAGAATCCACCGGCCAAGAGAGCGCGTAGGGGAGTGTACCCATTACAGCCACGTCCGTCTTCCTCAGCTACCGGACGGAGATAAGGACATGTTTAGACATCAACACCGTACGGAACAGACTATTCCTCTTCAGATGCTGGAATACGCAGGTTGCTATGCCCCTTTTACTTCTCAACACATCCACCAAACTCGTCAGTGGCCAAGCAAAACACAGAAAGTTACAAGTCTGGACATACTGATAATTCTTCTGGATGCATATGCAACAAATCCGCTTCAAGGCTGTCTCTACTCAAGCTAAGAAGATGGTGATTGATGTCGCAGCCCATCACGGCCCCCAAGATATTTAAGGATGAACTTGGAAAGATCAAGGATGAGGTCAGAAAGGATCCGGTCGAAAGGTCTCAGGTCTCCACCATCAATTTAGCTGTCAAGGCTCATAGTTCATCTTTTCCCCCTAAACGACCACGTGAACACTCCCAAGACATTTCCTTCCGGGAACCTGAAAGAAGGAAGTTTATTGTCTCTTGCAAAGAATCGTTTCAAGCCTTTCGGAGAACAGACCATTCACAGCACCCCCTGAATCTATTTCCAGTCTGATGCCAAACGTCGAGGATCTGGCTGAAGAGGTTTCAAGTCAGGAGGTCGAGGGGACAGCAGTTGACACTGCTCCTGTTGCCATCACAGGTCCTGTCGGCCTGACTATTTCTATGGACTATGATCATAGACTGCCACATTTTACAACATATCCGACTCTGTGTCCAGTGGTAGGGTGCCTTTTTTTCTACGCAATCAAACTGGGGACTAATCAGGTCCAGGGGGCACGAGTGGCCCAGTCGTCTAAGGCGCCGCGATTCGCTGTGCAGAGTTGCTTCCCTTGGGCACGCCAGAAACCTATGACTGTTGGTTCGAATCCCGGTTCGCCCCGATTATGTTTCTAGGTTTGTCAACACCATACCCGTGCTCGTGGGTTTCACCGAAGTGGTAAACGTCTAAGACCTGCATCACTTCGGGCTTTCCTCCCACATTAAGCTGACACGCCGTGATATAACTGGAATACTGTTAAAAGCGGCTTTAAACCCAACTCACTCACTCACTCCTACCACTTGATCTTACAAGGATACAAGTTACACTTCCGTAACTGTCGACTTCTTGTCTCCTGATCTATAGGTCGTCGATTCCACCTTAAAGTAGCCAAGTTAAAGGAGGCTGATCTCGCAATCAAGGCTTTGGACAAACGGGCCTTTCTGGAACTCCAAGACACAGACAACAACACAGGTTTCTATTCTCCAGTGTTCTTGGAGCCAGAGAAGAATTCCACCGAAATGAAGATGGCTCTCAACAAATTTTCCACTTCCACACCTGGTCCTGTTTGCATCCTGCCTGAACCATCGGCTTCCAGTTTATGTCAATCTGGTACCGGATCCGATGCAGTGTACCATCATTTTCATTGCTCCAATCTGGTCGAGCAGGCCATGGTTTCCCAGGCTCTTGTCTCTACTGATGGAAAAACCTCGATACCTACCTCTTCACCGAGATCTTCTACGGCAACCCAGGTCAGATATACTCAAAGAAAAGAATGACCGGATGTGACTTCACATTGAGAAGAGAAATGAAATCGGAAGTGACATAACAAGATCCGGAAGTGGCATCGTATGGAGGAAATGACGTCATTTAGTGACGTCAAACTCGGAAGAAAGAAAGACCGGATGTGAAGTTAGAATCAGAAATAATAAGGTAAATTATGCCCTAAAAGAGTGCAAGGATAATTATTAATACGAATACCAGCAATATAAAGGTAATTCATGGGAAGGTATCACATTTCTGACTGATTATTCCACTGCAAGTGATTTATTGGAAGACATCTCATAGGATTTGAAACTAATATGATGGAATGACAAGGGTTTATAGAAATCACTGTCATCTATACAGGGAGTGTGGTAGAGACAGAACCCGCCTTCCCTCTGACATATGGCAATGACGTAATAGAGGTAGAGGGTTCGTAAGAATTATGGAAACAATAGTTATCATTGTTAATAATTCCAACAATACTACCTCTATTAAATCAGACATACTCCCCACGCTACCCCACCCCACCCCACCCCCATCCCAACACACACCTCCCCAATCATTTGTCTCCAGTTGATTGGTGTTTGGAAAGAAGTTAGGATTGTCCTGCCTTTGCGCAAGGAAGAGCTGGAGGCTGTTGGTACTTTTACGGGACAAAGTCAAATAATTATGTATAGCTGACAGTAAAGAGGACGTCTTTTTAAAATCTGAAACTTTAGTTTTAGTGTGATTGCAGCCCCAAAACAGGATTTATGGCAATGATGTAATAGAGGTTGTATTCTTAGAATTACTGACAATGATAACTATTCGTTTGATTTTTGGCACACTAGTAATATCAATTTACAAATAGTACAAAAGTTATCAGATATGTTTTAAAGGGTGACACCCAGCATCTATTCCTTCTTACGCTTGTAAGTTTGGACTTATGGCATGATCACATACTATCACAAAGTATTACTAAATTGAGTGAAAATGTATTTTTAATTCAAGTAAAAATCTAAATATGAGCAGGTTTGTGACCCAACATAAACTGTGCACTATATGTTTGTACTGATTTTATCTCCTACAAAAAAAAGCCTGGGTAAAAGACTTGTAGAAGTTAAAATATCAGAAAAACACTTCGCACAAATTCTAAAATCAGTCTTTTGACATATTTGAACCTTACCTATGTACAATTCCTATAAACACATCGGAAACCTTTTTTTAATGATTTCTGTAGAGTTTGCTCATTTCTGAAATTGTGCAGACTCTGTGGGTACGCGGGCCCTTATCCTACCTTGTCCTAAATATTGTTGGAATATAGAAGATCCTACCCTAAAGTTTGGAAATGCCCAAAATAATTTTTGTTTTGTTTTTTATCAGAATTCTTTCTTTCAACCTTTGATTTGTGTGAGCTAATACCAGAGTACCAGTGGTTCACAGGTTCACCATTAATATATTATTAAAACTTGAGTAGTGAGGATGTAAAGAGACATTCAGGAACATTCTGATTCCAACTGGTTATCTGGGAAACGGTATATCACAACTAACGAATTTACTTACGTGTTTGGGGCTTCAGATCCCATATTTGAGTTTAAAGTCTCAGAACTTGATACAGCTGCACCACCTGCTCCTTATGGGAAACAATGAATGGAATTCAGGATACAAAGGTTCTTCATTGAACACAGAAGTAAAGGTTATTTTCTTTATGAAGAAAAGTATAAATATAACAACAATAACGAAACTCAAACCAGTGATTTATCTAGACCCGCTCAGATGCCAATATTTGGCCATGTCTGCTGCAAATGTCAACGAAACCTTTCTTGAAGTAACGATGTCTCAATTCACGTTACATACAGCTTATGTTGTGGCTTTGTGAAGGTGACTTGCTGTTTGGTCGTAACTGGTTAATCAAGAGGTTTACATTACTGCATCGAATACAATGTTAAACTGCATTGTTAAATTACCTCTGAAAATAGGAAGATATGAACTGCCAATTTTGCATTTTGAAAATTTCTTTTTACTTTTTCATAAGTTTGCCACACATACCAGTATAGAATCTTTGATAAATTCCTGCAAACTACACACTGAGCACATTTTGAAAAATATGGTTTAGCAGATCATTGGTAGGCCCACAATGAGGGGTAGGAATGGTGAGTCTGGATCCTTCTACCCTTCCTCCTTTTGAAATGTTTTTCACATATTGTCATCGTATTTTCCACTCAAAGTTATAAAAAAACAAGTAAGTAATTGGGATCCATTCACAAGTTCCCTGTAAAGGGCTAGTCAAACTTAAGTTATTGGATCCTTATTTTGAATAACAATGACCTTGCAATGAACTTGCATAAAGGTATTGATGGAATCTAACCATACACTTATCGTCATCACTACTAGTTAAAGAATCATTAGCCAGTTCCTGTCTTTTAAAAACCCATTCAGGTGAATATTCGTGTACATCTATTAACCTTCTGCCTCTGTACAAGACAATTCAACTCATGAAACGCTGTGCACCCGGCTAATGACACAGCCCACAGTATATACCCTTGGGTGCAGGCTAGTCAAGACACAATGCTTCCCTTTCTCTCTCTTATTCTCATTCTCTCATTCTCTCTCTCTCTCTCTCTCTCTCTCTCTCTCTCTCTCTCTCTCTCTCTCTCTCTCTCTCTCTCTCTCTCTCTCTCTCGGGGGCACGGGTGGCCCAGTCGTCTAAGGCGCCGCGATTCGCTGTGCAGAGTTGTGTCCCTTGGGCACGCCAGAAACCTATGATTGTGGGTTCGAATCCCGGTTCGCCCCGATTATGTTTCTAGGTTTGTCAGCACCATACACGTGCTCGTGGGTTTCACCGAAGTGGTAAACGTCTGAGACCTGCATCACTTCGGGATTTCCTCCCACATTAAGCTGACACTGGAATACTGTTAAAAGCGGCGTTAAACCAAACTCACTCTCTCTCTCTCCAGGTGTGTGTGTGTGTGTATTATGTGTGTTTGTTGAGTAGATCGATGCTCATGATGTCAATCACTGGACTGTCTTGTCCAAACTTGATTATTTACAGACTGCCGTCATATAGCTGGAATATTTGCCGAGTGCGGCATTAAACAAACAAACAAAGTACTCTCACAGGGGAAGGAGAAGAATTCTGCATGAAGCTTTAGAAACTGTGTATACACAGAGAAGGATGACCTCATGCGGACTGTAACACTTTCAAATAATTGTGTGTGGGTTTGTTAAGCGTCAAATCATTTTTTTTTAAGATTGCAAAAAAACAGGCAATTCAAAAAATTAAAAATCACATCTTTACCCATCAACGCAACATGATACTGAGTAAACATACGGCAGAAAGAGGTTTATAATCAAGATACACTCAAAACAATGGAGCGGTATAGCTTTGTAATCCAACACTAACATCCTCGTGATGATTGCGCAATCAGTAGTTGAATGCAGAGCCACTGTGTAAATTTACACAAACAATCGTCTCTCACCAACTGGTGACAAAACACACATATTACATTGCAGATCAATCGGTCGACATAGTCAACTGATGTACATGTAACTGATATTATGAACTCTGGCTAGACTTGGTATTTCCCAAGGCTTAAAAAGACCTCACATCAACATAGACGATAGATCGTTCACTCGTCATGCTAAGTTTTATCATTCAAATCGAGACAAATCGCCCACTCACTCAGCAGCGCTGCCGTTAGTATTGTGTTGTACGCTTAAAACGTGATAAACTGTTATCAACGACCGGTAGCCGGACTATTTCCATGTTGAGCTTAACATCAGCTACTCACAGTTCCGTAGAGAGACTGGAAATCGATGGGGGAAGAAACTCTGTTCGAGTACCCTCCGCGACACATGAACATATTTTGATCTCCGACCAGCGCTTGCACGAGATCACGTGACATAGGCTGCAAGCCGACGACACTGGCTTCTTTCCAAAGCTTTTTTCTTCACCCACTTTATCGTTGTATAAATAGGTTGCATGTTGAACCCATGGGAATACTTGATCATACTTAATAATATATATGAACAATACATGGTTGATGTTATGACGCAGGAATGAGGCTGCCAACCCCCTTTTGGTACGAGGAATTCGGGGGTCTATTTAGAGGGAATTCGGGACTCAGCAGTGGTGTATCTGATACGCAGATTAAACATAAAAAACAGAACGTAAAATATTCCTCCATGTATTTCTTTTGTTTGATACTTCTTCAGTAATTAAACCTCAAATCGCACCCTTTTCTCAATGCTTTTGACATTTAAGTGTTAGGCAGTATTTTAGATTCAAGGGTGAGCAAAGAGTGAAAAACCTAGCAATATTCTAGCTGTATGACGACTGCCTGCAAATAACCGAGTCTTCACCAGACAATTCGTTGATTGGTTTTATGAGCAATGATTCAAGTCAACCAAGTCACCATCAACCAAGTCACTGAGCCTGACAACCCAATCCTCGTATCACCAGCATTGCTGGGAATCCCCATTTCGCCTCCAACGACCAGCAACCGGTTGCTGGGGACGCATTCTACCCCGGATCCCCACGGGGTCAATGAACCTCCATACTATCCACTAATTGAAACCTATTTACTAAGAGGCGATTGGGTTCGCTCGTCACGACAAAAGTCCGGGTTGGTTTCCCCCCATGTGAACAATTTGTGAAGCCCATTTCTGGTGTTCCCATTCGTGACATTACTATTATTGCTAAAAGCGGCGTAAAACCACATATAATCGCCATTTATTCAACCAGTCAATGAATCCGAATATCATTTACTGGTTGAAAAAATAGTTTTATCAACTGTAAACAACAAAAACACTCTTTAAAAAAAAGAAACGCACAGGTAGTATGTAGTTCATTGAACCTGATTACACAAAAAATCCGGTATATAAATTGGATATATGTCATTGGAAAATGTTGGTGGCCCGATATTCGACAAACGGTGGGTTAAAACGCAGCCATTGTCGACTTGCAATGTCTTAAACGGCATTGTTTTCACACTTGTTCAAAAATGTCTTGGAGGAAAACAGTAAAGCAAAATGCACGTGCAATTTATGGCATTCGTAACTCGTGGTATTGGCTATAAAAAGGCAAGCATAAGCCAATAATTTGTCATTCAATTGTCAACATTGCCACAGGACGTATCCAAAGAGGGTAATCGCAGTCTTCTGTTGCACGCCACTTCAACGTACACCACAGCACTATTTGCCGCCTTTGGGACCAATACATACAGTTTAATTCCACTGTAGACCGTCCGAGAATCGGCCGACCAAGAGTTACCACCCCTGCACAGGATCGCTACATTCGACTGTTCCACTTACGTCATCGCAATGCAACAGATACAGAGACTGCAGGACGCATTCCTGGTTTGAGGAGGATATCGGACCAGACTGTCAGGAACTATCTTCGCGTGGCTGGAATCCGACCCTGAAGACCAGTTATCGTCCGTTTTGCAACAGATCCATAGACAGCGACGCTTGCGTTGGTGCCATACCTTACAGCCTTGGAATGTGAGAACCTGGAGACGAGTATGGTTTAGCGATAAATCACGATTTCTTCTTCGAGGCGAGATGGAAGACAACGTGTTTATCGTCGTCGAAATGAGCGTTTTGCCCCACATTGTGTACGTGAATTCGACAATATCGGTTTCGGTAGTGTCATGGTGTAGGGGTCCATATACACCACGAGATCCGACTTGGTTGTGGTTCAGGGAAATTTGACCACAAATCGCTACATGAATCAAATTCTTCAACCTCACCTCCCTTCAAATCATTGATCGCTAGAGGGAGCTGTTTCAACAGGACAACGCTCCACCGCACACAGCTCGTGTCACGGTAGACTGCCTTCATAATGCATACATCAACGACTTGTCCTGGCCGTCGAGATCTCAAGATCTCAACCCAATCGAATACCTCTGGGATGAACTCGATCGACGTGTACGTCAACGTCAGAACACGCCGCAGACACTCCCACAACTGGCCAACGCGTTACAAGCAGAATGGCGCAGAATTCCGCAGGACAGAATTCGAACACTTATCCAGTCAGTGCCGAGGAGATGCAGAGCCGTGAGAGTTTAGCGCAACCTTATGGCCTTATATGACATGACAATGAACAGTTTTCAATTCCTTTGTACAACGACAACATGTGAGTATCGAGCCCCAAAATTTCATATGTGTATCTATCATATTAAATTAAATATATCGACTTTATTTGGTAAAATAGATTTACTAAAAATCTACCTCTAAGGTGTTTTTTAAGTGTGTAGATGGGCTGTGAGGCTTTGCAGTGAAAGATACATTCAGGCCTGCGGAAGTAACGTATTTTTGGCCAGTTTGCTATGTTTGTTTCTGTGGTTCAGTTCTCATTCACCCCACCCCATTCCTCATCCTCTACTCAGCGCTGTCAGCCTATTTTCTTCCCATTATCAGCTCTCTCAGCCTAGAGAGTTGCCACAGTGCCAGCATTAAATAGAATTTACGCGAAATATATAGACGCCCGTGCGTCTTATACCGGAAATACGGTAAGGAAAAGAATGTATGGATGTCAACTTCTTTATTATGAGGAACACAAAGTTTCGGAGTATATGCTTACTCCTTCATCAGGTGACGAAGGAGTAAGCATATACTCCGAAACTTTGTGTTCCTCGTAATAAAGAAGTTGACGTCCATAAATTCTCTTCCTTATGTGTATCACTTCTAAATGCCTTTAAAAGATTTGGAAATCATTTTCTGATATTTTCAAGCAGGTGAATGTGGTATGTATCTCTACCCATGTATCACGCGTACCTGATCTCACTGCAGTTATGGAGTATGCCCGGACTGCCATGTTTCCTATCTAATAAAATCTCACAATCTTGTAGAATACAATGAGTAAGATTTGTTCATACATCCTGCATAAAAAGACTAGCCACTTTTGTGGAAACGGATCAAATTATTTGGGAATATTAAGGTGTTTTCTCAGAAAGGACCGCTCAAAAATTGATAGTATTTTTTTAAAATTTACCAGCTTTGGTACGAAAACATACAAGAAGAAGACTGGGAAGATTTTATTGTGCCTTTCTTGATTTAAAAAAAGGGGTTCGATATGGTTGACAGAAGAATTTTTCTTTTTTTTCTTTTTATAACTGGTATACATGGCAAACGCCTCACAATAATACAAGGTATGTATGAGCAAGTTTAATCGATGGTTCAAAATGGATTTAAATTAGCTGAATATTTCTTTAGCAACGCTGGTGTTGGCCAAGGGTGTACTTTCATTGTTTATCAAAGAGATGATGACACATTTTACATAAACGAAATATTAAATTAGAAAATTGTACCGAATTTGACTTTTGGAAGTGAGATATGGGGATTTACACAAAGAGAAAATATCGAATTTGTCAACCGAAAGTTCTGTAAATTTGTACCAGGGATTAATTTCCAGAAAGTCCAGTTACCAATTCTTGTCACCTGTGGTGGTTGTAGGGCAGTCTCTTTATATATTACCCTTTGTATTGGCTCCGTCTGAATCTCACATCATCTCACACTGAACCCAGGCTAACCAACGACTGTGGAAATAAAATACTAGAACCAAAGATTTTATGCTGAACCAACAATATGTACAGGAGTTGTGTTTCAATAGTTTTCGAAAACTAGCAGTTCTACATCAAATTATCAAAAATCGAGAACATTTTACCCTAAATGTTCCTCTCAACACAATACAAATTAGCACAAAATTCATCAAAATATTTAAAGAAATAGAAACGTTCGGGTGTAATCCAGTTGTAAAGTTGTTTATCTATAAGACATTGTCCTTCTAAAGCCACTCAAAGAAGTTACCACATTCGCGTGGAATCCAAACCACGGTATTCAACCACGCGACTATTCGTCGTTTCCTGCTGTTAATGTCTCGGCGTTCGAAATCACAATTATAACTTTTTAGCTTGTTTGTTAGTACTCAGCAATATCCAAGTCTGAACATCCAGTCCAGTGACTGACATCATGGGCATCGATCTACGCAATTGTGATCCGATGACATGCATCACCCTGAGTCTGACCACCCGATCCCGTTGGTCGCCTCACGAAAAGCATGGGTTGCTGAAGACGAAATCTAACCCGGATCTTGACGAAGCATAACTTTTTCCAAGGTGCAATACATGTGGAGGTAAATACGAGGTATTAACTCGTTTAAACTGAACATTGATTATAATCAGGACAGACATGCGCCTAATCATTCGCGAAAACGACGTTTGTATACTGGGTTTAGCGCGTTTTCAGTCTCGTCTGATGTGTATTTATGTGTTTCTTATAATAGCAATGGATAACAGTTGTGTCCTTTCTTTATTTTATTCGTTTCGGAAACTCTATTTCGCGCCCGGTAAAATTCAGATTAATTATATCAAGGTTTGCGTGATATGTATGTGTCATAAACTATATATAACATGTTAAATAGCTGTTTACAAATCAGATGTTCAACCGCTACCGGTTTCAATCGATTTTGAGAACAACCACGCGGCGTCATATTTACTTCTTCTTTCTGGAGTTGACCCTTGGCCGAATGAAAATGCACATTCACCGTGCGTGAGCTGTTTCTTATCACACAGCCCAGGTATGCCTTACACTAATGCACCCGTGAAGATCCGGCTTGGGCTTGTCCTTCGTGTAGAATGTCACAGTAGATGTTAAAGGGGGGCTGTGCTTGGGAAAATTGGCAGTCCCAAAGTTTGATTCCAGTAAGTCAAACATCACAAACATCAACTCAATCCAGTATTTTTCGATAACCCTCATTATCGGAGACAATGTCTTAGTTCCACAGTTAAACTTACACTTCACGACTTGGACTGAATATGTGGAACAGACTGTGCAGCATAATACCTTTTTTCAGACACCATGTCACGCAACAAACATGGAAAT